TACACAGAGCAAGCTGAGAATATTATATCCTTTGAATGCGGAGACCAAGGGTTTTCCACAACCATGCATGGCTTTTCCTGCTGTAGTTTTATCGCCAGCCCTTCCCAGTGGTTCTTGAATTCTAGCTCCCCGCCCCCCCCATGATTATTCACAGCTCCCCAAATATCTCAGACACTTACACGTCCATGCCTCGCACGTGCTGTTCCCATAGTCTGAAATGACCTTCCTCTCCTAAACTCCCCATCCAAATCCCACTCAATCCTTCAAGGTCAGCTCAAATATTGCCTTCTGGCAAAGACTTTTGCTGATGTCCTCTCTCCCACAGTTGTTGTCTTAACACACACACACCCCATTTGTCTCCCAAATCGCACTATTTGCATCTCTGTCTCCCTCACGAGGTGGCAAGCTCTGTGAGGACAGCATCTGGGCGGATCCCGCTGTGCTCTCCACACCCCACTGGCTGAGCTGGACCACAGGTGGTGTTTGTTCCTTATGAATGCCGTCCTGTACAGCAGCTCTAGTCCCTTGCTGTGCTTCTCTGCTCTTGTGTCTCATTGCCCACTTCCATGAGCGAAGGCTCTTTCCTGAATCAGCTCAGTGTCTGATTTTTCTCTAGTTGTTTCCATCACTCTAGACTGTCTTAAACACAGCTGGCCGCTGCGTGGTCCTGGAATCTGCTGTCCTTGCCCCCCGCCCCCCATCCCCACGGCAGTCCTGTCTTTCAGTCACCAAGGATTAACTTTCAGACAAGGAAGGCTGGGGCGGAGGAGGCAGGCCCTGGGGTGGGGGCAGATGGGCACAGCTGGCATAGGAACTGAACTAGAAGTCCAGGCTGAAGGCAGTCCTCAGGCCCAGAGCAAAGTGACTCCATCGGGTCAACTGAGCAGGGGAGCTCCTCACCCGCTTCCCCGAGAGACGCCCTGTAGCAGGACCCGGGGCTCCTGGATCTGCTCAAGAGGCAGATTTAGTTGGTTAGTTACGCTAAAAGGCTCCTGCCCAGGCTGTTACAGCCTCCAGATTCCTGGTACTCGTCTGATTGAACAACTTCATTAAATTGCAATAAAAGGAAAGTGGGCCGGATGTGCACCGGGAGAGGAGGCAGGTGGCTGAGTCCAAGGGCTGCTTCCTGAGCCCTGTGCCTACAGGCCCCTGGGCAGGCAGGGGCCATGCGCCGAGCTCTAGTGTGGGACACAGAAGACCTTCAAAGGTCATCTGCTCCACGAGCTCATTCATACTGATGGCAGGGAAAATGACATACAGGGAGGCCGATGGAACTCCCAGAGCTGCTCAGCGAGACGCGAGCGGAAGCACAAGGAAGCTCTAGGATTTTAGGGGTGTTTGTCCAGGACTCTGTCACTATAGCAGGTGGGAGAAAAAATTGTTGGAAAACACTAATACCTTTGTTCTTGAGGAGCACTCTCTCTTGGGGCCCTAAACTTGTTTGTTCATTGTTTTTTAGTAACAGCTTTATGGAAATATAGTTCACATACCATATAACTCACCTATTTAAAGTGTATACTTCAGGGAGGGGCACCTGGGTGGATCAGTCAGTTAAGCATCTGACTTCAGCTCAGGTCATGGATCTTGCGGTTTGTGAGTTAGATTCCTACATCGAGCTCTGTGCTGACAGTTCAGAGCCTGGAGCCTGCTTTGGATTCTGTGTCTCCCTCTCTCTTTCTGCTCCTCCCCTGCTCATGCTCTGTCTCTCTCTCAAAAGTAAATAAATATTTAAAAATAAATAAATAAGTAAATAAAGTGTATAATTCAATGGTCTCTAATATATTCACAGCATTGTGCAAGCTTTGCCGCAATTAATTCTAGACCATTTTCATTACTCCCCAAAGCAACCCAGGGCCATTCAGCCAAGGTCCCTTAATCTCCCCATTCCTTCTAACCTTAAGCGACTACTAATTTACTCTCTGCCTCTGTAAATAAATCATATTATATATGCCCTTTTGTGACTGGCTTCCTTGTCTTTAGTGTAATGTTTTCAGGACTGATCCATTTTGTAACATGCATCAATACTTCGTTCCTTTTTATGGACACGTAACATTCTATCATGTGAATATATCACATTTTGTGTGCCTGTTCATCTGTTGATGGATATTTGGGTTGCTTGTCCCTTTTAGCTATTTTGAATCCTACTACTACTTAGTGGGGATGACCATTTTCAACTCTCTTTCCACTGGGGAGTGGAAAAACCTGTCTGTTCTTGCATCTCATTAACAATATCAGCAACAACACTGGTGGAGATCCTAAAGTAGTATTGTACACATTGGCTCAGAAAAATAGGACAGGAAGCCAGGTGGAGAAAGAGAGGCACAGAGAGGTTAAGCCTTTTGACCCTGGTCACACAGCATGACAGTAGAAGTCAGAGCTGGTATTCGTGAGAGTTAGCCAATGAATCTTTTCTAATTTTAGGAAAAAAAGCCTTGGAACATTTTAAAAATCACACACACACATACACCATCACTTTAATGGTATGGATCCATTTTTAATGTGATCAGGTCTCTTATTATCTTCTATGTGTCTCAAGTCTTCTAATTCCCCACAAAGAACACACTGCCTCTGAGTGGAATTAACTCCCTCATGTCCCAATGGTTTCACCTCACCCCTACTGAACACATCCCTACCTACTCCTTCATAGCAGGGAGCTTTGGACCCACGGGCAGCAAGGGCTCCTTAAGGGACTTCTCCTTTGACACAGCTGCGGTCCCGGAGCTCTGTGTGTGGGAAACATGGAGCCATGCTGTTCCGTCACACCATCCGGGCGCTCCAGCCTGTTAAGCACCTGTCGTCAGATGTACGCCAGCCTGAGAGCGAGGTTGCTCGGGGTCCTAGTTGGTTGCACCATATGAAATGGCCAACATCAGTAATTTTGGGCCTACAAACCTGGCCACCTCATGCAGTTCAACCTGCAAGCGTCTGGGGCCCCCCTCCTTCCCTCCCATGTTCTGCCCAAAGGCCCAGGTCTTGTGCTCTGAGCCTTCTGCCCCTCGGGGCCAGCCCAGTCTTCCTTGCCCAACCTTCTAGAGCAACCATTCTCCAGCTGCTCCACTGGTGCCTGAAGATGTGCGTGCTCCGGAGGTGATGGGCACTGGGCTGGGAGTCAGGTCACCTCTGCACCCACGGCCTGCCTGCCCGCTGACCTCTCTGCCCCCAGCTCTCCCCCTACAGCCATACCTCCTAAAAGAAGAGATCAGCCCCAGCCACCCTCTAACTCAAATCTTGCGGTGACTCCCTGTCACGTAGTACATGTAAAGTACAAACTCCTCAGCCTGGTCGGAAGACACAACTTCAGCTCCTGCCGCTGGCCTTTTGTTCCGGCCACATCCAACTGCTTGCAGTCCCTGGGGGTGTCGATGCTTTCTCAGCTCTGCACCTTGGCACCTGCTCTTCCCCCACCTGGGAGACTGTGAGGCTCCTTCACTCAGCTACGTGTGACTTACCCTTCAGGACCACTCCCAGGGGTCTTCCCTGAGCCTCTGAGCTGTGGTAGGAGACTTTCCCCTCTGTTCCCATTTCTCATTGCTTCTGTCTCTCCTGGTGCTCACTGTCCAGTTTTAATGGCCTTTTTGCATGTCTGTCCCTATCGGTCTACCTGGGCTATGCACTTCTGACAGTTCTACCTAATTCATACTTCAGTCTCTGTTGTCAGCATAGGAGTCAGTGAGCTTCCATTTAACAGCAAGGGTTCTGTGACTCAGTTTCCCCACTTGCTGAAAATGGCCCAGAAGCTTGCTCCCTGTCCCTGGCCTTCTGTAAGCTTCATTCGCCTCTCAGGCACAGAAAGTTGGTTTTAAGGGTTCTCTTAATTCCCACGATGTAAGGATTTGGGATAAAAATCTTCCCCGTTCCCTGGCCATTTACAGGGCTCCTGTGTGGGTTCAAGGAAGTTAATGCAAGAAGGCTATTTAAATGGACGTGCCAAGGAATTGTGGGGAAGATTCCTTTGTTGTTCTGGTTTGTTTTAACTCACCTGGTGTCTCTGCAGCACCTAGTAAGTGCACGCCAGTGTTGGCCAGTTAGGATACCAACTTGTAATTTCCCGGTTCCCTGGGCTTCCTTTGAGTGCTGCCTTTCCAGCCGGTTTGGGAGTGCCTGCCCACTCCTACTTCTTTCGCTGTTAACTCCCGCCGGGACCTGCGCATCAGGTGCTTTGGGCGATGCTGGCCCATGTCGCCCCGGAATTCGTCGCCCAGTCCCTGTCCACAGAAGAGCCCACAGAGTTTGGCCGAGCGGGGCCTCGACCCGGGCGCCCCCTGGCGGCCGCGCACGGAAGCCAGGGCCGGCGGGGAGCGGGCCAGGGGAAGGGGGAGCGATGGGGGAGGAGGAGGCACGGGCAGGGGAGGAGAGGAAAAAGTTGCGCTGGGAAGTTTGGAAAGTGGGGAAGTGGCTGCTGCGGGCTTCGCCTCCCTCCGCGCGTGTGTGAGGGAGCAAGCGAGGGAGCGAGAGAGGAGCGAGCGAGCGCCTGCCATGCCCATCAGACCCCGCCTCGCCGCGCCCGGGCGCGGAGCTCGCCCCGACTCCCTGCGGCCCGGCCCGGCCCGGCGCGGCCCGGCGCGGCCCCGGCCCCCCGCCCCCCGCGCCGGGTCCTCCCCTCCCCCCGCCCCGGCGGCCCCAGCCCCCCGCCCGGCCCGGCTCCGCGCCGCTCTCCCGCCCTCCTCCCTCCCTCCCTCCCGGCCGCGGAGCAGCATGGCGGAGCCCGGGCAGCGGCCGCGCGGCCGCCCGCCGCCCCTCTGAGCCCGGCTCTGGGGCAGCCGGGCGCCCCAGACCCGACCCCCGCCCCGCCGCGCCCGCCGCCGCACTTGTCCCACCGTGCGCCCCCTGGAGCGCCGCGCACCCCTGGGACCCTTGCGCGCCCGGCTCCCCGCGTAACTCGGGACCCCGCGCGCCCTGGGAGCCCGGTACCGCCCCGGGACCCCGCGCGCCCCTGGACCGCGACGCAGCGCCGGGACGTCGGCGCGCCCCAGGACCCGCGCGCTCTCAGAACCCGGGGCTCCGCCGACGGGGCTGCGCGCCTGGGGAGGAGGGGCCCCGCCCCAGAGGGTCCCCCTCTTCCAGCAGACGGAGCCCCGCCCCAGAGGGACCCCCGGGTCCGGCAGGGACACCCGGCCCCGCCCCAGAGGGTTCCCAGCATCCCGCCGCTGGAGCCCCGCGCCCCGGAGGAACCTCCGTGCCCAGCTGGGGGCTCCCCGCCCCGCTGAGAGGGCGCCGCCCGGGAGGGTCCCCGCGCCCCGCGGGCCCCGGCAGGATGCACGCCGCCCTGGCGGGGCCGCTGCTCGCCGTCCTCCTCGCCACCGCCCGCGCCCGCCCGCAGCCCCCGGACGGAGGACAGTGCCGGCCGCCCGGATCGGTGAGCGAGCGCCTGCCCGGCCACTCTCCCGGCCGCCCGGCCACTCCAGCCCGTGGGGACGAGGGTTTGGGGGTCCTGCCTTCCGCACCCACCTCCGCCCACCCGCTCCACCTCCGCCCGCCGGGCGCTGCCTCGGGCGCCCTTCCCTGCCTCCTGCCGCCCGGGCTCCAGCTCCGTGCCGGGAGCCGAGATGGGCGCTCCCTCTCCAGCTCCTTCTCCACACGCCGACGCTCTCGGTCTCTCCTCGACTCTCGGTCCTGCTCGGACGTTTCCTCCCTGTGCTCCCTGGACTCGCTTCTTTCTTACTTTATCCTGTCTTTCCCTTTCTGGTTGCTCTCTGCCCACCCCTGACTTTTTCTACCGTCCCTTGCCCTACTCTGCTCCGACTTACATCAGACCTTTCCGCTCTCCCATTCCCACTCTGTGCCCCTCGCAGGCAGGCTTCCCTCTCCCCTGCCCTTACACTCTGACCTAAAGCAAACTTTCTCCGTGGTGCTGGTTGCCACCTCTCTCTCCCTCTCCAGCCCAGGCCCCCCGCACCCGATCCCCCAACTGCCCCCATTTCACAAAAAGAGAGAAGATTCCAGAGGAGAGGAAAAGAAAGTGCCAGGACGCGCTGGCCTAATTCCTCCTTGGGGGCTGAATAATTACTGGTTCTCCTCACTTTCCTTCCCAACTACAGAATCCCTTGATTTCTCTCTGTATCCCTCCCTCAGAGTGTAAATTAATGCATGGAAAATAACCCTGAATTGGAGGCCAGGGACCAGGAAAAGCTTTTGTAGGGTCCTCACTCCCTGCCCAGTTAGCAGGGAGTTGGTCGACCTTGGGCAAGGTGCACCTCCGGTGTCCCGACTTGTGCAGGAACGGAGAGGTGGGTGGCGGACTGGCAGCTCAGGGCTAGTCTAGCCCCAGTATGCAGGGATTCACGATTTTTGGTTGTCCGGAAAATAAGGTGCTGCTCCCCCACCCACCCCTCACACACTTTCCATTCGTGCTAGGTAGAAGCAGGCAGGAAAATTTTGAGTTGACCTCAAGTTCGCAGGTGGTCAGTGGGCCATCCAGGGGCTTTCCTGGATGGAAAATGACTGCCTGAGAGAAATGATAGCCCCTTTCTCATGCCCCTTAACCCCAGTCCTCAGCTAGATCTGGAGAAAGGACCCCTTTCTGCATGCCCACTTTACCCCTACACACACTTCTGGGTCAGAGCTTTGGTCTGAGAAGATGCCAGAGGGTGGGGGCTGGAGCCCAGGTAGAGCGTTTTAGAGGAGGAGCCGGAAGCACCAGGATGTGTTACATTTCTTGGGATGTATTCTAGGGAATCTTCTGCTCCCACATCAGGGCCTGGAGACTTTATCTCGCCTGCAGCTTGTAAAGTGCTTTCTCATCTGCGGTGGAGCAGAGTAGCCAACACCCCAGACCTGCCCTCCAACGAGAAAACTGTAGAGAAAACTGTATCCACCCCGTTGAATGGGAAGTAGCTGTTTAAATAGGTGTGCTATTTTTAATAGGTGTTCTGCTTTCAAAGTGCTCTTGGCATGTATCTTCTAATGGCTGGGTTTAAAAGTTATATGACTTCCTCCCTTCTTGCCAGAGCAGGACTCTTGCCCCCCCCCCCCCCCCCCCCATACAGCACCACCGGTGACGGTTTGGCTTGGCCGAGCATGAATATTCTCAGGTGCTGTGGCAGTCCTTGGCACTCCGAGAGGGAAAGCGAACAGTAATGAGAGTTTCCTTCGTAGCCTACTTCCTCTGTGCCTGGTGCTGCTCCAGGCTGACTCACGTATACTGTGTCTTTTCATCCTCCCCTGAGGTAGCTGCTCTCAACCCCATTTCACAGATGGGGAAACTGAGTCAGTGAGAAGTGGAACAGCGTGCTTAAGATTATCCAGCTAAGACAGGATTTGAATCTGGGTCTTCCAGCTTCCACAGCCCTTGCTCTGTCCCCTGGCCCCATGTAGGCCTCTGCCTTCCACCCCACCTCCACCTGCGTCTGTCTCTGCTACCCCTGGTTTACTCCCTGGCCTTCAGCCTCACTGCCTGCCTTCTCCTTCCCCTCATCCCCTGCAGCAGAGGGAGCTCAACTCTTTCCTGTGGACCATTCGGCGTGACCCCCCGGCCTACCTGTTTGGCACCATCCACGTCCCCTACACCCGCGTCTGGGACTTCATCCCGGACAACTCCAAGGCAGCCTTCCAGGCCAGCGCTCGCGTCTACTTCGAGCTGGACCTGACGGACCCCTACACCATCTCGGCCCTGGCCAGCTGCCAGCTGCTGCCGCACGGGGAGAACCTTCAGGACGTGCTGCCGCGGGAGCTCTACTGGCGCCTGAAGCGCCACCTGGACTACGTGAAGCTGATGATGCCCTCGTGGATGACGCCGGCGCAGCGGGGCAAGGGGCTGTACGCGGACTACCTGTTCAATGCCATCGCCGGCAACTGGGAGCGCAAGAGGCCCGTGTGGGTGATGCTCATGGTGAACTCGCTCACCGAGACGGACGTGCGCTCCCGGGGCGTGCCCGTGCTGGACCTCTACCTGGCCCAGCAGGCCGAGAAGATGAGGAAGAGCACTGGGGCCGTGGAGCGGGTGGAGGAGCAGTGCCACCCACTTAATGGGCTCAACTTCTCCCAGGTAGGCGCGTGGCTTTCCGCGGCCCCCAGCAGCGGACAGCCCCTATGTCCCCCTCGCCGGTCACCTTCCTCCTGCCGCAGCCGGAGCCCTGGCCTTCTTCCGGAGGGAGAGGCTCTTTCGGGCTGCAAGGCAGCTCTCTGGCTGCTTTCGGGGTGGGTTGAGGGCAAACTGGTGTGTGCTCGAATTAGGGGTGAGGGTTTGGGTGTTTGCTTCTATGTCAGTGGTGCTCCCTGTTGGGGATATCCACTCCCCACTTGCTGTGCTCGCCCGAGCAGAAAGAATTTTCCTGGGAACATCAGAGTGAGGAAAACAAAAAAAGGGAGTTACAGGTTTGTGGCTGGCTTTCCCGAGGCCCCGGGGGTTCTAGAACGGGAGGCTGTCCTGAAGCTGTTGTGTGGACACCCCCCTCCCCATCCCGGGCAGCAGCGTGTGTGTACAGAGGACGCAGGGAGTCACAGTTCCTGTGGCTTCGTGGGCAGGGGCGGGGCAGTGGACCTGTGGGACTCCGGCTTGTTGCTGTTGAAGGTTAACACCGCTGAGCTGCCCGGGCCTTTGTGTTGCTCCAGGTGACCCTCGGACCTCCTCCCTAGGCCTGGAGGAAGTCAACAAGGATAGTTTTGGGGTTAATAATTTCAGAGAAATGTGTTCACTTAAAGGTTGACAGTTCTGATTTCTGGACCTCAAGCATGGAGGCAGGGAGAAGGGAAGAGCTTAGGAGGTTTAAAGTCTCTGGCTGCCAGAGACCTGATCCAGCAAAATGTCACGAAAAGCCCCATCTCCATGGGCAGAGGTCACATGCAACTCACTGGCCCCAAACTCAACTCTGAGACCCTGGGAACAATGAGTTCACATCTGTGCCTTGAGAACGGGCTGTCAGTCGTGGGATCGGGAATCCGAGTCAGGGCCGGTGGCTTCTGCGAGGAGGCCCCCGAACGGGGCGTGGGCCAATGCCCTGGGTGAGGTGTGGCTCCCAAGACGTGCCCCTCCGGTAAGGGGACAGCCTCGTAAGTTGGCCAGGCCAGAAACTCCACCACTGGGACCAGACCTGCTCGCTGCTCCCAAGATGTTGCAGACTCTTCACCAGGGAAACAGCGGCAGAAACTGATCCCCCTTTGGAGATCTTCTGGCCTTTGTTTTTCCAGGGGAAATGCAATATTGTCCCCGGGGAGGTAAGAAGCCAGATTGATTTGCCGGCCAAATGAAAGGCGGGTTTGTCGGTTCCCCTGCTGGCTCTCCCATAATTGTGGAGTCCTTACCCAGAGGGCCCCGGTGGCAGGAATATTGGGGCAGTTAGTCACGCCCCGCAGGGTTCTGACGACGCCTGACTCCTTCTCCACGGGGGAAAATCCTGTGCATTCTCTGGCCCGGGCGCTGAATGCTCTGAACACACCGCTCTCTCCCTCTGAAGTGACTTTTCCCTTGCCAGCCTCGGGAGCTGATATTATCTGTGTAGGGCTCCCTAGCGCTCACCGCCCATCTCATTTTGGAGGCAGGTTTGTGGGAGGCCTCTCCGTTCAGAGACTTCACGTCTGGCCTGGATATCTTTTTTAGGCCGGGGAGGTGGGGCGTCCAGCATCACCGTCCGCACCCTCTTTGTACCCGACCACAGAGGAATCTGAGGAGAGCTGGAGCGAGCACACAAGCCCTCTGGTTGAACAGCCCCTGGCTTTAATCTGTCTCTCTTAAAACAGCAAAACTATCTTTCTTCGGCGTCTGGAAACACTGCTGCTCGACCTAGTGACGGCTTTGGGTAGGTTGAAAACATTTGCTGGAAAGCGTGTGAAGTTATGTTTTAGGAAAAGTTCCTGAGAGCCATTTATCGGCCAGCAAGGAGCCTGCTGACAGTCTCCAAAGCCCATGTTTGAAGATCAAACGGACTCAAATCTCTGGTTTCAGAAATGTGCGCACCCCGTCACCAGCCTGGGCCCGCTCTTAAAATTGTTCTTGGGTCCGGCTCCTTAAGAGGGCTGCAGGAGGCAAGTCCAGAACAAAAGAGAGCAGGGCTCCTCCTGGTTCCCTAATCTGTATACCCTTCACCACCTGCCAGAGCGTCCGACCCCGCCAATTTGTCCTGTTATCATTTTGGAGCGAGGTGATGAAATCTCTCCTCCATCCCCGTGGGCAGCTGTGGGCTAACTGGGAAAGGAGGGATTCCAGAGCCTGGGCGGGTGGGGTGTGAAGGGTCCTCAACCCCAAAGTCAGAAACGAACAGCCTTCTCAGTAAAATCGTATGTGCGTGTGCACAGTTTGATATGAACATCTGTGATGCATTATTGTACCGAAATATCTGTTAAGTGCATCAGATTTTTATTTTTTCTTTCCTCTCAGCATTACTGTTATTGCAAAATATTTGGTGGGGGGGGGGGCGGACAATGAGAGAGGAAGGCGGGAAAAAGAAACCTTAAAAGAGAGAGCCTTTTTGTGAAGTGCTGGGATTTTAGTTTTAATTTTAGTATTTCTCAAATTTTTATATTTTCTTCTAGGCAGAAATACCACATTTTCCCTTGCTAAGTGAAGAAAGAATGCGTACATTTTAAGACTCCATGGGTGGGAGGAGCCCCTGAAAAAGTCTCTGGTCTCTGATTTCCGTATAAATGGAGAGTACAGGACCCAGCATCAACATGGGCTTGCACTGTGACCTTGGGCAAGTCAGTTCCCCCCTCTAGGCCTTGTTTTTCCTGTCTGTGAACTGAGACGCCAGGATTAGGTCATTATTCAGACCCCTTCCAGTCCTGACATTTCATGGGACAGTTATAATCAATTCCACGTGCCAGGCACCCTGCACATAGGAGGCCTGCTTTTCCATTTTGTCGGATGCTCTCTCAGGTGAGCATTCAGAAAGGCTGGATGACTTGCCCAAGGTCATGTGGCTCATTAGGGACAGACACTCTACCTGCCCTTAAATGAAGTATTCTGTTTCCTGCTGCCCCATGTTGACCAGGTAATTTGTATCCTACGATTCTTCCTGCAGTCCTTTCTGCGGTTTCTCTCTCCCCTTTAGGAGCCCAGGGCTTAAAATTTTACTTCTTGGGGAATTTATAATCACAGAGAAAGTATTTCCTTTGGCTATGGGGCTGGCGAAGGATGGTAAAGACCCTGATGTGTGACAGACAGCACACGTAGTGGCTGAGAGATAGCAGACTTACCTGCTCTGCATCTAAAGCCAATGACTTGTGTATACCTTTGTGTTTTCCTGTCTATAAAGTGGGGCAGTGGTGAGCAGCCTTTCACAACTAAGCTGGTTTTGTGAGGATATGAGGAGACACTCCTTGTAGGAGGTCGTAGAGAGTATAAAAGGGCTACGTCGCTGTAGGTTCTGTGCTTAGAAAACAGTTCAGGCCGGCTCTGGGACAGGGGGAGAGGAAGGCTGGAGAGGGAGGCTTCGTGGGAAGCCTCATCTCTGCTCCGTTGGCACCTTTTCCCCGTCAGCTGTGTCTGCTGTCCATCCTTCAGGGTGAGGGGGTGGCGGCCCCTGTCCTCAGGGACCTGGGGATGCCTGAGCCTGGAGCCCAGATCTCGTGACAATCTTGGGACCTGCAGACTTCAATCGGCTCTGTTGGCTGCCTCCCGGGACGGGCACTGGCTGCCACTAAGCGGCAGGGCTGATTAGGAGCCTCCCTGGTCCCTCTAGGGGGCGGCAGCCCTCCCCCACCCAGAACAGTGGAGGCGCTGGATGAGAATGCCTTGAAGTCCTGTAATTCCTGAGGCGTAACATAGCAAGGACGGTGCCATTCTGTACTTTGCCGCGTTTTAGCAAACATGCCGACATTAGCCCCCCTCCGTGTGTGTAAGGCTTGAGCACTGGGCACCGCTGCCGAGAGCGTCCAGAATGTTTGTGAAATACTGCAGCCCCCTCACTGGGGACTTAGAAACCACAAAACCGTCACTGATTGAGCTCTGTCTCCGCACAGGGCACTGCATAAAACCACACACGTACCTCACCTTTAATCCTCACAGAGATGTGACAAGTCAAATCATTATATCTCTATTACAGGCAATAAAAAAGTTGTCACATGGCTGTGATTACACAGCTAAGCCGGTGGAATCAGGATTCCAACTCAGGTGTGTCTGACGCTGAAGCCCAAGCTTTTCAGGCATCTGAAAGATGAATTCATTTTTGTTCTCAATAGTGAGATGACATCTGGTGATGTGTGTGTGTGTGTGTGTGTGTGTGTGTGTGTGTGTGTTGGAGTTGGGGGAGATCATCATATTTTGCTAAAAATATGAAATGAAGTAAAACATGATAGAGATCATTGAAAAGTGCTGAAACTGATTTGGCTTGTAAGTTGGATCTGAAGGTGATTCTAAAATAGGAGTTTCCAAAGACATTCTGGGTACCAGTTGCTTCCTTGGTATGAGCTTTCCAAGGGATATTTGTGAAGACGGGCCCCTAACACTGGCTAAGCCAACACAGCTAAATAAAGCCTCATCTCCTTGTAGTCAGAGTACCTGTATATATACGCTGAGGGGCCAGCACATATTAATTGGTGCTCAGTAAATATTCGGGGAATGAATGAATGGTCAGAAACCACCATATGACCATCCCTGTTTCCCTTCTGCCATCCAGCACTGTGGAATGAATGAATGAATGAGCGAACGAATGAATGAATGAATGGAGACTATATAAGCCACAGTGAAGAACCTCCTCCTTGAACTTTAATAGCCCTGTGCATTCCTACAGGGACACAAAATGTCGACATCAAGTAGGTAGTTCACATACAAAGCAGACCCTGGCCCTGACCTTAGTCCTACCTTACCTGTGACTCTGGGCTAGTCCTTACCTTCTCTGGGCCTCGACTGCTCCCTCTGTCGCTTGAGTGTTAGCTGGATGATTTCCAGGGTCGGCCCAGTTCTGACCTCTGTGGTGCTCATCTGTGACCCCCATATCTTAAAGGCCCTTGGCCACCCTAAGATTTCGAGCCTGGGAGTGGCTGACAGTTTAGTCTTCAGCAGGCCGCTGCCAATCGTCGCGAATTCTCTGGAAGTCTGTTGGTTCCAGG